AACTTTTATCTTTAAAATTAATCTATCCATGAATCAAATAAACTAGTCAATTATGGAAAGTTATAAAAAGCATATATTGAATTTGAGTTTTAGTGTGTAAGTATTTTTCTCTGTTTTTAACCCATATTATTTTTTTGTTATATTTGTTTAAGTGTGTTTCATGTTTTTCAGTAGTTGCTATTTCAAATTATGACTTATATACTTTACCTTTCTAATTTTAAACATTGAGGACAATGTCTCATTTTAATTGGGAAAGATAATAGTTGATATAGTTGGAAAAAAAAAACCTTTCTTTTTGATGTTATTAAAACCATTTAATAAAACAATTATTGTTAAGATAACAAAGTAAACGTGAACTTTACTCTTAAGATGACTTTTGAGATGCATCATAATAAATATTTTACAGTGGTTATTTTCAAAATTCTTAACAAGGATTTATCACACGTTTCCTTTTGAATTATTCAATTTACAAACTCTCATGTTGTTATCACTTAATTATGCTCATATAATTATTTATTAAGTATTCATAAACTATTTTTTTCGTGTGTACACATACTTTAACATATGATTGTGGGTTATAAATTAAATTATTAAATTATTTATGTTCTTTTATTAACGGTGGCAACTAAATAAATGAGAGATTATATAATAATAATAAATAATAAATAAATAAATTTGATTTCGTAGCCTCTTTAACTTAAACAATTAAGTCTAAAGGGGTGTGTGTTAACACTTGATACCCTAAAGTAAAGTAATCTGGAAGTTATTCGCTCATAGGTTGTTACATGTGTTGAGAAAAAAGATTAAAAAAATCAAATATTGCACTATCTATATTAAGTATTTGAACTCAATTTATTAAGTATTTGAACTCGATTTATTAAGTTGATACGGGTGTCTTAACACTTATTGTCCCAAAACCAACTATTTTGGGAGTCATTAGCTTAATACATCGTCTCATTGTCCTTTATGACATGTTTTTATTGATAAACACATAATATTCTAGCTTATACTTATATTTGTTATTAAGAGGTTGTTTGACATTACATTTCAACTTGTATTTGTGTATGTTTTAAAAGTGTGTTTAGTATGAAAAATCATTAAATTGATGTGTTTTAGAGCTTTTTGATGATTTTAATGTATTGATATAAAAAAACATATGAAAAAGATGTTTCAATGTATTTTCAAGCGAAAAACACCATGCACCAAAATATCAAATACACACTAAGATGTTTTTGGACGACTCAAAACAATTCAACCACTTGAGCATATCTTAATTTATGGTCAAAATCTTGAAAACAAGAGAGAGAACATACTCAAGAAAATATGGATAGTATTTGCAGTCCACTCATTTTATTTTATAAAACTTTCATTACAAATTTTCCAATTTCTTATAAAGGTGATGAACTTAGACTTACTCTATAGGGCAAAAGTGTTAGAAGTTTAAGTTTTGATGAGAGAGCTGCTCATAAGCTTTAATCTCTAATCATTATTGTTTTTGTTAGCTTTTATCTCTTCGAGTTCCAAGGTAAATCCCTTCACCTTCGAGTTGAGCTTTATTAAATAAATTTTCCACCCTTCCTCCCAATCTTTGCTCTCTTGTGTGTTGAATATTCTTTTCTCATGTATTAATCTTTTCGTTTTGCACTTTGCTTACCCTAATTAAATTAGCCAAGCTTGGATAACACAATTGCTTCTCTTTGATACTTCAATCCTGATATACCCGAGCTTTTAGCATATATGCATTAATACGTCAACTTTACTGTATTAGTTGTTCTTTGAACACATGTAATTCTTCTTCTTTCTCTTATCAAATAATTGCTTCGTTCATATTACACCATTAGTTTCGGTTAGTTCCCTGTTGAGATGCATTAATCAATTAGTTCCCTATTGAGATTCATTAACTCTCATCATTTTTAAATCTTTTGTTATTGATTAAGGACCAGATTAATGAAATCAAGAAAACAATTAAACAAGTTTTATGCATGAATCCTTATGATCTCTTCTTGGCTTAATTGTTAAATTCAATAGGTATAGTAAAAATGCTTTGAGTGGTAAATATCACTATCTTTATAGTATTAATTACCCCCCACAACATTTACTGCAGAGTTAAAGTAACAACATTTACTGCAGAGTTAAAGTAATGCACCTTCAGGATAAAGTAAAATCTTAAAACTTATAGATAACAACTTCTATAAGTTTTTTAAGAATTTTTTTATAAATATAAATAGAGAGATTATAAATAAAAACTAGGGAGATAGAAAAATTATTTTCTAATTGATTTATACCGATATCAAACTGATATTTATAAGAAAAATAACATTATTTTTTTAGGCTAGACCCAGCCTAGCTATATGGGTTAGGCTAGAATAAGTCCAACCCAAAATGGAAATTAACTAAGCCATCACTGCATGCAGTGGCTGGTAGGGGGTGAAGGAAAAAAAAAGACAAGGGAAGAGGTTTACCTGATCAAACTAGGCAGAGATTATTTTTTTCTCAACCTTAGCTTGTTATTTATCCTTCTTCGGGTCATAAAATCCACATTTATTTAGAAGAGATAGAAGAGGGATACTTTGTCTCATATGGTGCTAAATCTTGGCTCTTGATTTGACCCAGAAAGATCTCAATAATTGGTTCAAATTGGCTATCGTGGATTGTCAATTTTGTTACAGAAGAGGAGTTGATCGGGTTGGCTACTTTAAGGCGGTGCCACTATTATTATGATGTCAATCGGTATAACTGACCGCACTAGGATGTAATAAGATGTTAGATGATTATTTGTGTGTATGTTTTGTCCAATTTGGTTAAGAGATAAAGCATAAAATGTCTTGGAAAGGTGAATACTTGAGCAATTTTTTAAGCTAAAGTCTAAAGAACAAGATGGACAATCACCTAGAAAAGGCGTCGTTTTGGCAAATTGCATTTTAGTCATTTGATTTATGATTTATTCTTAATTAAACATCTTATTGGCTTCAAACTTTTAATTTTGTGTAATTTTACCCTTCACGAATTTCAATTTAAACCCTTGATTTTAGCGTTTTTTTTATTTTGGTCTCAGATTTTTTTAATTTAACCTCTAATTAATTATTAAACTTTTAAATTTCTTCAATTTCACCCTTAATTTTAGTTAATTAAGTCCTTAGAGTTCGGTGCCTTTTACAAAATGGTTTTTGGCTGCAAATTTCTTCAATTTAGTCCTTATTTAACCCTTAAAACTTTGATTTTCTTACAATTTTGCCCCTGATATTGACCTTGTAGACATTAAATTTGGTCTAATAAAATTTAAATCTTCTCAATTAAGTTCAAATTGGGTTTTCCAACTTAATGTTTTACCAGTTAAACATGTAATAAAATTAATTTGACCCATTTAAATTATAATTAGTCCTTACACCTAATTAAATCCTTCAATTGAACCCAAATTAATTCTTATATATAATTAAACTTTAATTTGACTCATGATTAAATTAAATTGGTCTATTAAAAATCTAATTATGTTCTTATGCTTAATTTTTATGCAGATTCGTCTAATAATAACTAATTTGATCTTGAATCTACATTGTCTCTTTAGTTTTAGGTAAAATAAGATACAATTAGGTTTATAATTTTGTTTAAAATTGCAGCTTGATTATATATATATATATATTTGGAATCTTTCTTAGCGTACTTTGGTCAAAATATCAATCTTCTTGCTATTTTTTATTTTTTATTTTTATTTTGAAAGGAAAAAAAAGATGAATTTAGGGAATAAACTAGAAATAAGTTATGACATATAGAATTTAAAGGCATACTTTTCAGACCAATATGTCTATAGAATAAAAAACAAAACCCTTCAAATAAATTAATTAAATAACTTGGCAAGAGGTGTCACGCATAATTATTTAATTCATTAATTCTAAAAATAAAAAATATTTATTTTATATAATGTCAAATGCCAAGTGCTCAAATGTCAAGTGTTGTTTCGGTGTGTATATTTGGTCTTCATACTAACATTTAAATCTATTGATTTAGTGTCCCTCTTATAAGGTACAACAAAACCACTTATCTTTTTAATGTGAGATAAATTAAAATAATAAGAGTGAAAATCAACATAAAAAATAAATTAGAGGGTAGTTATGATTTTTTTATTGTAGGGCTAAATTGAAAAGAAAAATAACTTTAACAAAAAAAATAAAAGAATAAGGATTAAATTAAAAAAATAATACATCATAAACTTAGATTAAAGGATAAAATTGAAAACCAATAAAACTTTTATAAAATAATCAAGACAAAAAATTAAAGACAAAAAGAACAAGGACTAAGTTGGAAAAAAACAAAACATGATAAATTGAAATTGAAGTACTAAACCGGATACAAATAAAATTGTATTAAAAGGTCAAAAAATAAAATCAAAAAATCAAAAAAATAAAAATAAAAAATAAAAAATAAAAAATAAAAAATAAAAAATAAAAAATAAAAAGGGTTAAGTTCTATTTTCTAGAAAAAGAGAGGAAAAAACAAAGGCTTGTTAGTAATAAACTCTCACACATCTACCAACACGCCTTGCATTAACCAAAAAGAACACAATGACCCTTCTAATGATTTAATAGAAGTGCAGGATTGGCCACTATGAGATACCATGATTACCTCTCACGGACTTACAACTTTTTTATTTTTAAAATTAATTAATGAACTTGAATAAAACCAAACTACCTCTAAATATAAAATTAACAAAAAAAATATAGTAAAAGACCAAAAGACCCATGTTTTATTTTTGCAGGTTCAAAATGCAAAGTTTTCTTTTTAATGTATTTTAAAAGTTGAAAAGATTTAAGCACCTTTGCCTAATAGCTTTAAAAATTTAATCTAAATAGTAATAAAATTATTTTACTGTTCAAAATAAAAAGGAAAAGTCCATGTCAACCTCATGACAAATTATAAATGAAGAAGACTGAAACTCTCCTACCCATAGCCTCTTTTTAAAAAATGTTTTTTTCATTGAGGGTTATAATAGTCATAGAATATAATAAAGGTGTATCTAGAGTCTTTGTTAATAATTCAACACCCAGGAGGCTATACAGAAGACGCTTTTGGCCTGTTGATCATACACATTTCTCAAAATTTTCTTTGAGCGTTCATGAAGGATCATCGAAACATCTATTGTACAAGATAACAAAACCCTTCAGGAACAATTAAATTCACTTATCATTTGAAAATTTAGAAGCAATACTTTTGTACGCCATGTCAACTTCCTCCTCCGTCATTTCAATTGTTTCATCGCTGTCATACTCTGCTGCATCATCACCAGTGACGGCGTTTGTCCTTTGACTAATCCCACTTTCATCACTCTTCAACCTTCGTTTCTTACTCTTTGAACCATCTAAACTGCTAAGTTCTGCTTCATAGATTTCTTTACATGCCTTGGCCTTCCTGCAGAGATCTTCCTTTGAAAGAGAAGATGAAGCATTTCCACCATCTACAAGCTTTACCATCTCCTCAACTGCTTGAGGGACAACATTCCACTGATCTGTTATTTTCCGGACATCCTAAGCAGACAATAGTGACAAATTTTAGAGCGGTATTTATAAATGTAAGCCAAACTAGAATCGATAGATGCTGGTAACATTAATACCTCTTGGTAATATCATAAAAAAAATTAAATTTTTTTTCTTTTTTATATTATTTTAATGCTTTAATGTAAAAATAATTTTTAAAAAATTAAAAATAGCAATATCATAAAAAAATTTAAGTTTTTTTCTTTTTTATATTATTTTAATGCGTTCATGTAAAAATAATTTTAAAAAAATTAAAAATATATTATTTTAATACATTTACAATAAAAAACATTTTAAAAACCAACTATACTTCAAAAAAAAAAACTTTAAATAGATTTCACTCCCAACTAGTACAAATACTTCAAAAAAAAACTTAAATAGATTTCACTCCCAACTAGTACAAGGATTGAACTGATGATGAATTTCTGAAGGGAAATCCACTATCAGTTCTGGAGAGCACAGTTGTCCTGAAGGAAGAGTGATGAAATCACGATCCTGGTGTGCAGAGCAGGACAAATGACCTGCCCCCTTCCCTTGGGTCTAGAATGGAAGTGCAATATAACCAAAATCTACAAAGGGTAACAGTGCATGCAATGCAATGCAATGCTAGCATTCAACATAACTGAAAAACATTTATAAGTAAATCATCCAAAAAAGTATAGAAAGAGTAAATGATCTGCCAAAGCAAGGTGGTTTAAGCAAACTGTCTACGGAAAAAAATTACAACTATTTAGAGGACCGCATTTAAAAATCACAATGAACTGAAAAGCCAAGTGCATTTTTCTACGAGCAAAAAGCAAAAACATCAGCATTACTAATTAATCAATTTATAGGATTTGCCTTAAAATATCTTCACTCACCACGAGAGCAGCCAGTATTTTCAATGGAAGGTGATGTGAATTAAATCAGAATAAAATTTACTGTGGATTTGAATAGTGTCATTGTCTGTGAGAAGATTATACCTGATTTTGTTCAAGGAAATCTATGGCATCTTGTAAGCAAATTAAGATGCCTTCTGCAGCTACTTGTTTAATCTCACTTGGCTCTGGCTGTTGAAAAGGAAAACTAAAATCAGGTTCCTAGAATATATTCTGCACAACTTGCACACAAATAGCTAGAAACGCAGCAGGGTTAGGCATGTTTTGACCAGCTTAAAATAATGATGAGTGAAACACAAAGCTACCTTCATATTCATATGTGACACATCTGCTCTAAACAGATTTCATTTTTTCCCACATTCAAGAAAACTCCCGGTGAACCAAGAAAAGCTTTTGCCAGATCAAGTTGTTAGATGTCACTTACCTTTTCCTCTTGACTCTCCAGCCATGAGATGGTTCTATTCAAATCGTCAATAACCCACTCCTTCACTTTAGAAGGAGAGAAGCACTCTTTAGTGGGATTAGATGCTCTAACCTGAGAAACATGTGTCACAACAAACAACTAAATACTGGTGGCAGATGTAAGAATTGTTGAAAAAGAATTAAAATGTCACGTATATACAAAATTTCTCTATCATACTGGAATGGTTGTAATGCAAGTAAGGCTTGTTGCAATTCCCTCATCAGAACACTAGTATACTACACTAACCTTGTAGGATGCAGAAGCAGTTGGCTTTGAATGCAACCCACTTTTGACCTGTTTCTCAGATTTTCTAGGTGGGGATGCCTTTTGATCTGAATTGCAAGCAATCTTTGTGTTCAGACTAAATGAAGGGAAAGGGGGGTGACTCCCAAAACATAATGTGGAGAAAATATCAAACACATAGCGAGTGTTTGTTTCTGTGGTTTGCTTCAGCTTTTGAATTAAACCACAAAAACAAAACGTTTGGTAAAATATAAAACGTTGTTAACTGTGTGTGGGACCTACTATAATTTACGTTTGCGACCTACTATAATTTACGTTTCAAACGCAGGTTACCTGAAAGCAGCATCAAGCTGCTTCGTATTATCCTTTGTCAGAATCATGACAAGAATGCATAAACAAGCTATTTGTTCAATATGCTAAAAGCATTCAAGATGTGTGATACTGAGAAATAAGACTTAAAAGAAAGTTTATCCCTTGACAAAAATATTTGGAAAAAGGATAGAGATTACATTACCACTGCCTCTTTCGTGAGAAGTATTGGATATCCGCCAAGGTTTCCCAGCATGCATAAGATAACTATCAATCTCAACTAGCTTCTTTTGGCTGTAACACTCTAGTATCCATTCCTGTGGCAAACACACAGCAAACAAAGCATTGCATCAAATTATTGCTAAGAACCAATAAACAAGGTATGAAATGGAATATAAAAATGAAAAGGCTGCTGATTCAGACACTGCAAACGCATATACTAGATGCAGCAACAACCTTCTTAACAATGGTTCCACAATCCGTCTCAACTTGTCGGAACTTTGGAGTATTTGAATATGCACAAACCAAGAGAGTGCAATCTGAGGTCCAGTCTGGTCGATACTCCGCTCCCATTTCTAAAGCCTGGGACCGCAATGTAGCACGCTCAGGGTTAACAAACCCGGACAATACAAACACCACACCATCCTGCCAAATCAAAGCATACATTATAATCATTATTAATAAAAAGAAGTCAAATGAAACACAAAAGTCACATCATTAAACCCATCAATGAAGCCATGAGCAATACCAGAAGTGTAGATTGTTCATCTTCAGCAGAAGTTGCTGCTGCCTTCTTCCCATGAGATTTATTCTCATTGTCTTTAGAACTCATCCATGAAGGAAGATTTCGCTTTTTACTACTACCCCCTTCACCACTTCTCTTTGAATCCGACATGATTCAAATTAAAATAATAATGATCTCTCCCGTCTCCTTCCGCTGCACAAAAATCTTCAATTTCTCCGAAGCATGTATATATGTTTTTTGCTATCAAAATCAGAATCTAACTGGTATTGTAAACATGTACTTGCATGCTCAATTTGGACAAAAATAAGCACAACCAAATCACAAACTCCAGTAATTAAATCTCCTTGGCAACTAATGGACAGATAAAGAAAACAAAACTAGTGATTTTGGAGAGTTAAAGACAAAAAAAAGGAATAATCGAACTTACAGGGCGAGATAAGAAACTATCTTTTCTTCCTCCTTAGTCTTTCCTGTGTCCGCCAGGCCCCGCAAAGAATTTGGGGGTCTTAACTTTTAGGTGTTTTTTATTTCTTTTCTCGTGTCACTCCTACGCAAGGAATATTTTCAATACAAATATTAAGTATCTGGTGCATTTAACAGCGAAGTGGACGTGCCGGAGTGGTTATCGGGCATGACTAGAAATCATGTGGGCTTTGCCCGCGCAGGTTCGAATCCTGCCGTCCACGCTGAATTTAATTTTTAAGTTAACTTTGAAAAAATTGTCTAAAACAAAGGGGCTCCACTCTCCATTGGCGTAAACACGCAAACCATCCCGCTCTGTCTTTTCGAATCCAACGACTAAAACTAGCCCACCCACATTCCACTCTGTCTTCCACTGTCTCTGCCTTTTTTTAAAAAAAAAAAAACGATGAACTTGGAGGATCCTCTGCAGAGATACAGCGGATTGTCTATCTTGCACGGATCGTTAGGTTCTCTTTCGAAGCCTCCTTGTGACCCCGATCCTCATCAAGATGATGATCTTCTCTCCGCGCACAATTTCCTCAAATCCCTGGTACTTCCCCCACTCTTTCCTTTTGTTTTAGGGAGTATTCTTCACTTATTCGGAATATTCACTTCAATTTTTCATTTTCTTATACAGAATTTCCTCTATTTTTATAATTTGTTCTTCTTTGTCTACTCGTCTAGGTTTGAAGTGAAAGCGCCTGGCTAACATTTTTCTTCAATTTTAGCCTAACGAGATGCGGCGTTTTTCCTTACTATCAGCTTTTGTTTTTTCAGAAAGGATTTCTAGGCTCAGATTATAGGGTTTTATTTGTGGAATTTGAGTGTGTTTACTGCTGATTTCCTTTTATTTTTTCCTGAGAAATTGTAGCATTTGTTCCCATCTGTTGTAATTTTGTGAACTTTGTGCTCAGTTTAGGCTTCTAAGAAATTTTAAGTTTTTATTTTCTTTATTTAATGTTTGTTTATTATAAACTTGGATTTTCGAATTCACTAACTTCTTGATAATGTGTTTAATTTACAGCCTGTCAAAAATTCTGATAAACTTATAGAGCAGGCGAAAAGTATTTTAGATGCTACTTCAGGACTTGTCAATGCGGACTTGGCAAATGATGCAATGCCTGAAGATAAAATTGAAGTTGTTGTTCAAAAGGCCGCGGAAAGTCCCCGGGCACGAAGACCGGGTTTAGGGCGTAAGCGTGCTCGGTTTTCTTTGATTCATAATTCAAGGTAAAACCAGTTTACATCTCTAAGAAAATAGAGTGATAGAAGTAAAAGGAGGTTATTGTTTTATAAAGAATAATATAAATAATATATTGGATCTCAAAGCTTGTCCTTTGACATAGCGGAGTCTTGTATTTGATGACGAGTCAAATCCCACTTCTTTTATTTTATTTTCTAATTATAATTAAACTTAATTAATAATAAGTGGACTTCTATAAACTTCGAACCTAAAACTTAAACTTGAGAGAGTGTTTTAGAATATAATAACATAAATCATATTTCGAGGCCTAACCTGAAAGCTTATAGATTAAAATGGTTATTTGATATAGCTGGTGTTTAATTTACATTGAAGGTGGTTTTATTGAGTACTAAATATAATTATTATAATTGTCATGTCTTGATTTGCAGTCAACCTAGTGTTATTTTGGAACCAACTTTGGATATGGATAACCTGAAAGACCCAGAGCAATTCTTCTTGGCTTTTGAAAGACTTGAAGGTCACTTGCACATTGATTGATTGATTGTTGTTGTTGTTGTTGTTAAGTTTTTTGTATTGAAAGAGTAGCTTATTATGTGATGATTGCCGTCCAGATGCTAAAAAAGAAATGGCAAAACAGACAGGTCGTGTTTCAATTGGTTCCAATCAATCCAGTATGGCAATGGCTCCACGGCCTCGTCGACCTGGAATGCCTGGGTAAGATTAATGTTTATTTCTTGTTTTATATAAATGGCATTATATTACCTAGCCATTTCTGCGTGTGTTTCATCCCTTTTGTTTTTAGCTTGGCCATATCACACAGCATTTTTCTACATTTCAGGAGATCTAGGACAGTTAAATATCAACATCTCTATCCAACCATGTCCTTCCAGGAAACTTCTATAGAAGACATTTTTAGTCCATCTAATCCTGGCTCACAACAAGAAACAGTAAGTCAAGCTGTTGCATTACAACTAATGGAATCAACAAATGTTGCCTTAGAAGAATCAGAACTAGCTGGTGAGTGGCTTCTTGTTCAGGAACAAGGTTGATCAACTCTAAATTGATTCTCTCCTCTTTGCAGCTATTATGTACAATAGAAAATCCGGCATTCTTTTTCCTGGATAAAATGCCTGGTAACATTTGTAATTATTTCCATGTAGTGTCAATGGCCAAGGCTGAGAAAAGGGTAGATAAACTTCTAGATGAGTTGCTTGCCTGTGATTGTGAAGAGCTGGATGGGGATGGGGCAGTCACTTTGTTACAGGACCGCTTGCAGGTCAAGTCACTTGGCATAGAGAAGTTGAACCTCCCTGAACTGCTTTATGTACAAAGGACCAATTTGAACGCATTGGGAGGGAATTTGCCAAAGCCTAGGAATGTGTTATCACATATACATAATTTACCGAGAAGGACTTCAACTCCTATGAAGCAGCAAATTGCAGGAAATTCTACTTCCAGTTTTGGCTCGCCCACTCCACCAAAAAGTCAACTGGCTTTGCTAGCATTATTGAGGAAACACATACTACATTCAAATCCACCAACAAATCCAGTGCTGAATTCTCTAATAATTGAAGAAGATGACACAACAGCTGGTAATAGTAGTCCAACTGAGGTGGCTGTTAAAGCTCTGAATGACAATTTGACAAGTCTTGGTTCAGGTGGTGATGTTCGTCCTAGCAAATCTAGTGCTGAGGTGGAGAATAGCAATGTTGGTGTGGATAATGGAATCATGTATGAATATTCAAGTCAGCTTGGTGGTGATGCGGATGTTCAAACAAATGGGCCAAATGAACTGGAGGACATGGTGAGTTTCCTCTTCACTAGCTTATGCATTGGCATTTGCATTTTCTGAAACTCCTGATCAGAATCTTACCTCGTGAGGTTCTACAATGCAGGTAGAAGATATTCAGCAGAAAGCTGTAGATAAATCTCTGAACAGCAATTTGAGTAGTCTTGGTTCTGGTAGTATTGTTTGTCCTAGCAAAACCAGTGCTGAGGTGGAGAATAGCAACATTGGTGTGGATGATGGGGTCATAGATGAGAATTCAAGTCTGCGTGGTGGTGATGTGGATATTCGAACAAACAGGCAAAATGAACTGGAGGATATGGTGAGTTTCCTCTTCACTGGCTTATGCTTTGCCATTTGCTTTGTCTTGAAACTCTTGATCAGGATCTTACCTCATGAAGTTCTGCATCTGCACAGCCTGATGACACAGCCATGGAGTATTTGAACCCACGGGATCAGTTTGGTATGACAATCTTTCTCTGTTTTCTACAAGAAACACACTGGTCAGATGCAACTTGCAAAATGATAATTGCCTAAAGTGTAAGTTGGTGTTAGTTTATGGCTGAGGCCATAAGATTATTACCTATTATGGGGCCTTTACAGTGGGCGTTGAAGGGGATTTGGAGATAGCCTTTCCTTCAGCATTTTGCATGAAGTGGCTGTTCTCAAAAGTAAACCTGCACCTTGGTGGTTACAGAAAAGCAAAAACATTTAGACGTTGAAACACACTCCACACAAATTAGTGATTTTTATAACTCCATCCTTGGTATACCCCATAAAAAAGGCAGCAACATACAATTTGAGGGCATATGTCACAATTGTATTCTTCCACAGGGCCCCCTAGCAACTCCTTTAAGGTTTATTAGGTCTTATTCTCAATCACTAGTTTATTCAATGGCAATCATGCGTGAATTCTTTTCCATACCTGATACTCCCACCTTTGCCTTTTCTTTTTCTTTTTTTGCTTTTCTTTTGTTTGTGTGGGTTTCATATACTTGAAGTGAGTGAAGACTAAATTCACCATAGCTTTGAACAATCAAAGAGTTCATTATGTTGTAGACTATGGATGTGCAAAGCCATTTTAATTAATGCAAGGCAGATGATTTGCATGTCTGGGTACCAGAACAGAAGGAAGTTTAGACGATGAATGTATTTTGTACTGTGAAGAAAAATGAGAAGTTTACCGAATGAATCATGTTGACTTCAGTTCTCAATCGATTACATAATAAGGAGTTTAAAATTGTAGATATTTATTAAAATTCTGCATGCATTACGATTCTCTGATTTCTCTCTCCTTTTCATTTACATGATTGATTGTTGTGACATTACTATGTCCTTTCCTTTTTTCTATTTCTGTGGCAGAACAATTAAGTGCTGCATTTGTTGAAGACCATGCAATGGATAGTTGTCCTGCAACCCAAGACAGGGACCTAGAACAAACCAAAGCCAGCACCCTGGAACATAATAATGAGGTTTATATTTCTTCTTGTTCATTCTTTCATTGAATTTGCTGCTTTTGCTCACTTGTTATGATTTTGGTGAGTGCCAGTGGTATTTTAATGATCAGGGAAGGGATCATGTTCTTCTGTTGGAAGTTTGTCTTGAAATTTGTTATTATATCCTGTGGAACAGAGGGTGGAGGATCCTCCTGTGGTATCAACAAATAAACTAAACAAAGAAAAATCATGTACAGCCAAAGGACGCAAGAATAGATCACTCTCTAGGAGGCAAAGCCTTGCAGGTGCTCACTGTTGCGTCAAACGTACCATCATCTGGCTCTCTTTCTCTCCTTTTCCTCTCTCAAAGTTATTGTGTTGACAACTTGATACATATTGTTTCCATAGCTTCTGGTACATCATGGGAAACAGGAGTAAGGCGAAGCACCAGGATTAAATCAAGACCTTTGGAGTATTGGAAGGGGGAAAGATTTTTATATGGTCGCATTCATGGGAGTAAGTC